ATATGTAATATTTTCAACAATAAAGATTTAATTTTTTAAAAAGTCATATCTAAAAAAAACAGAAAGTGCTTAGCAGGTACAGAGAGATACTGATTTCAGCCCTATCACTCCCCTCACACAGGCAATTTGGGACACGTCAGTATCCAGGGAGGGCTGCTCAGAGGAACGGGTTTATCTAAGGTAGCAAGTGCCAGCCTCTTGGAAACAGTGACCACATCTTCCCCACCAAGTGGACATTTGCATTTATCATCCCCTGTGCAGCCTGTACCCCTCGCTCCTGCGTAGGTCTGGTAGTAACTGAATAGGATAATGCCAATGGCATCGAGGGAAGAAAATTCCAGTGCCCCCTTCTCCACAGCCAAAACGACGTTGTGAGTTGCCAGCTGAGTCAGATGCATCAATCCATTATAGTCTCTATCATGTTCTGCTGGTTCAGGGACCTCGCCACTCTATCATTCAGACCTTTTGCCCTCATCCTTGTAATGTGTCGGCTGTTTGACCTCTAGGCTCGGGGACAGAGAAGTTAGCTCTCTTTCTGCTTCTGGTATGGAAGTCATCACAGGGACTACATCTACCCCTGCAAAGCCGAGTGCATGAATAGAAAAATGAGCCTAGTCTCATCCTTTTCACTCAAGATTGAGGTATTCTGGGCAGAGCAATAGGAGAGGACCTGAAATGTTGGCCAACTTCCTTCTCAGCTAAGCCTGTAGCTCCACTATTTTTGAAGTATTTAATTTATACTTTGTTTGGTAACTTTTGCCAGTGGGAGAAAGCTATTTAATTCCTTTCCAGAGCTGTTTTGGGACATTAGAAGAATATCATTTGCTATTTTGAAAGTACAATGGCAGTGCTATTTTTAAGACTCTTCGTCATCCCCATGATTAGCCTGTCGCTGGGGCTTTCCGAATAAGACCACTTAAGTGGGCCTCATCCAGACACTGACTTTGTGGAACTGCTTTTTTTTTTTTAATTTGGAAACATCAAAAATAGCCCCTCTCTGTCCGTGGGTCTGCTCCCTCTCAAAGACCCGGTCTGGTCTGGCAGGTGTCGGGGCTGACTGTTTAGGTATGGCTGAGAGTCATGGAGAAAGTCCATTTGGGATCTGCTAAAATGGGGACCGCGGCTCACATAGGGATATTTTTCCTACTTGACATTATCCTTTACGGGGAAAGGGCCTATTTAGAGGAACGTTTCCATTTTAATGGCTGAAAAACCTGAACCGCTATTATGACCTCATTTTCATCATTGGGTGCTGGAGGGGCAGCCAGCAAGTGGGTGGGCCCTAAGAGCTGGGAGCTCACCTCCTGGCTGCTCCCCAAGGCAGGTCACTCAATGCTCACTGAGTATAGTTAGGTGTTCTATGGGTGTTCGATGTGTGTGTGTGTGTGTGTGTGTGTGTGTGTGTGTGTGTGTGTAGATACCTAGACGAGTGGTATCTATGTTATCCAGGAATGTGTAACATGAATAATGCATTCATCTAGGAATAGAAAGTGTACAAGCTAACCACATTAAAAAAAACAACAACAACCTATGCCCGACTTTGTAAATGAGAACTAGATAGCATTTAGGAGTGAGAGGTGCTATAATTCGTTTTCCTCTTAGGGGATTTAAAAACATATTATTTGGCTCTGAAATGTTTTATTTGAGGATACAGACAAATATAGCTACTTTTTAATATGCCTGGGAAATATACAGGCTTGCCTTTGGCTCCATAGACATCTGTAAGTATGGGTTACATCCCAGGTACCGGATGGGCCAATCAACCATGAGCTAGACGGGAGTGCTTCCTGTCACCCTCACAGTCACCTGAGCAGCAGGAAGGACAGGCCTTGGAGGCAGACCTCTGCAGCAGAGGATGCTGTGCTCTGTGCTGAGGGAGAGGCTGCTGAGAGCCCACCGGGCAGGCCAGTGTTGTTAGAAGGTGGGAGGCTTCTGGGAGGAAGGGGCATGTACGCTGAAGGAGAAAGATAGGTAAGAGTTCCCCAGGGAAGGGAAGGAGGGAAGATGTCCAAGGAGAAAGAGCTGCATGGACAAAGGTCAAAGAAAAAACAAGCTCTTAACTCCACAGGAAGATGAACCTTCAGAGCCTTATCAGCAGCTCCCTCGTACAGAGAGCAGTTTTCTGCACCAGACACTAGAGGGGTTGGATTTTCCTGTCAGGTGGAAAGTCAGTGTACTCATCCATCCTTCAGAGCTTTTGCGTGAGCTATAAAATGTATTTGCTTTCATGCAAAAAAGGAAGTTATCACCTAAATGTATGCTACAAGACCAAGTAGAAAAATAACTGGGGTTTGGGGAAATCAGAATTCACGATTCACCAAAAGCTTTAAAAATAACCAAGCTACGCTAGCCTGGTGGTCTCTCTTAGATTCACATTATCTGGCCTGTGGATCATGCCTTCCCATCTTGGGGAACATGTCACAGACCCTCCTCTCCAGAAGCACAGTGCCTTTTTCATGTACTCTTCACCTTTTTTAAAAACATATATATATTATTGATTTCAGAGAAGAAGGGAGAGAAGAGAGAGATAGATACATCAATGATGAGAGAGAATCATTGATTGGCTGTCTCCTGCATGCCCCCTATGGGGACTGAGCCTGCCACCCAGGCATGTGCCCTTGACCCAGGACCCTTCAGTCTGCAGCTCAATGCTCTATTTACTGAGCCAAACCAGCTAGGGCTCCACTCTTCATCTTTAAGGGACTACCCATCAGCATTACACTCAGTTCCTCTGCTCCCCAGGCCAGGTCTACACTGTTCTTCTTTTGTTCCCCTTGTTAAGACTGAGATAAAAGTATTCAAAATATCTTTAAGAACAGCAAGCTGCTGGTTGCTCGAGATAGAATTCTGACCACAAGGCAGGTCAAAAGAAACCACCTCAGCACCAGCTCGCAGCATTGCCTGGTACCTCTGCATGATGGAGAGTGTCCCTGAAAGTGGCCAGGTGAGGGTCTCTCTGGTTATGGTGAACTTCCCCAGAGGAGAATTCTGGCAGACATCTGACGCAGGCGGTCTGATCGCTCCTTTAGGTGGAGTATATGAAGGTCCAATGGAACAAGAAGGAAAGTCCCTTGGGTATTTGAGGGACTGTTTCTGGAGCAAGCTATTCATGAACCCACATGAACCCAACTTCACACAATTTTGAACTCATCAGCTTGAATAGAGAAGTATTGAAAAGCTCAGAGAGAGAGAGAGAAGTTTAACAGAAATTGAGTACTGCTACTAATAATAAAGTGCTATCCTTACTTCCGTGGTATGGAGTCTTCCTCCCAACTTTCCTTGGGATTCAAAATATATTTGCATCTTCATCTTTATTCCTCCTCGGCATACACAATGCAGATTCCAGGCCAGCATGGTTTGCCTTGGGTTCAGACTAGATTCATGACACTTGGTTCCTTGGGGTGATGTTAGACAGGTAGGTTGAGAATGTTCAGGTTCACCTACATTCTTCCCAGCACTGTGGTGATAATGACTGCTAGTGCCCATAGACACCAATGATGCCACCAAGCCCTCCATCTGTGACTGGAACTATGGAAGTTTCTTCCTTGCCTAGTGAGAGAATTGCCTTCAGTACAGCCAGAATCCTGGTTTCCCTTCATACTTATTACCGTAAATGTATGGCATGGCTAAGGATGCTAGGGAATTTGGATTATTGGTGAGGATGAGAACATTGCAATATGGTTTTGGCTGATCTAAGATCCAAATAATTGTGTCAGATAGATATTCACCTCAGAAACTCAACCCACTCCCTAGGTTTGCACTATAGACATCGGTGGTACAATATTCTACTTCATACAAAGAATCAAAGCTTCTTTTGATGGTGCTTGGTGCTGAGAGGCCATGGGAACCCAAAGGCTGGACCACACAGCAGCTTTTTTGACAGATTCCTGAGCTCCTCTTGGGGATTCTGATCTGGTGGCTACATGGCAGGGATCGGCATCTAAGTGTTTAATATGCTCCCAGTTCCTTCTGATGTGCAACTAAGTTTGGAACCCAGAACCATCAAAGAGAGCAAACCTTCCAAATTATGTTGTTTGCTCATCAAAGAGCTATTATTATTCAGTTAGCACGTTTATTTGAGTACCAAACATAGGCATACCACCTAAATAGAGTCCTTCTCTTATGGAGCATATAATCTTATATTAATCAAATATTTCAGACCTATTTTTTTTGTTATGTTGTTTTGTTTTGTTTTTGTTAATCCTCACCGGAGAATAGTTTCTCCATTGATTTCCAGAGAGAGTGATAGGGAGGGGGAGAAATAGAGAGAAATATCAATGAGAGACAGACACATCAATTGGCTGCCTCCTGCACATACCCTAACTGGGGCCGGGGATCGAGCTTGCAACTGAGGTTTGTGCCCTTGACCAGAATCAAACCCATGACCCTTCAGTCTGAGGGCTGATGCTCTAACCACTGAGAAACCGGGCTAGGACAAACATTTCAGACTGATCTTAACCACAGATCCTACCATGGGAAATGTTATGAAAGGTAATTCCATCCACCTCCCAAATTAAAGAGATTTACTTTTTCACTATGCAATCCTGCCAAAGAGGCATGTCCTCTAGCTTGAATCCATTCACAGCTGGTGTCCTCTACAGAGGAGCCCACGTTGACACTGGAAAGTTCTCTGTTAGGCAGATCATGGGGCACCCTTCTCAAATGCCCTGAGCTTAGGAGAACGCTCTAGTGACCTTGTGAGTGATTGGAAGTTAACACTAGTTGGTTATGACTACCTATTACTTTTATTCGTAAAATAGATTATCTTCTTGCCCCAACTAAGCTTAAAGCCAGCAGTTACCTTTACGCATAGTTGAAATATCCCCATACATGGCATTATTTCACCCAGTTTACACTGTGAAAAACAGAACGAGCTGGGCAAATTGACACTGGCAGTGTTTCAAAAGGTTGGTGTATATATTTGAACAAGACGTACGCTTATTTTTAGGGGTTTTAAAAATAATGTGTCATATTTTCTGTACTCTTCTTAGGAACAGTGTCAGTGAAGAAAAAAAAAAAGATGGCTTTTGACAATGTAACGTTTAGTGGGGTTGTTTTTTGAGGCTGAAAAATTAACACAAAATTTGCCAGTGGTGAAGTGAAGGGTGTATGTCATCTACCAGTAGAAGAGGAAGTGCCCAGTGTTATCTTAGATAACATCCTATTAACAAAGTGGTTTTATTGTCTACCTGTTGATATGACAAATGAAAATCAACATAATGTGTCAGAACTTTATCATATGTTGACTCATTTCCCCTTTTGGTTAAGAAAGTAGTCTGGGAAGTTGACAAATTTCTAAGCATGTATGTCATTTTTGGTGATGGGAGGGGGAAGTATTAATACAAAAGACTTACTTGAACTGTTTGCATTATTGATCAATTGATGTTTATTTCTATTCATTTCATGTGATTATTTTGTTTATTAGATCCAAGAGTTTAAGATTTATTATAAAAAAAAGTCTTTCCTTTTTTTTTAGGCTTCTAATTTTTATTTTTGAGAAGTAAAGGCTGTAGAATTGATCAATTTGAATAACCCTAAAACTGCATGAGGAAGAGATGTTCTTAAAACCACACAGCATGACTCTGTAGGCAATGTTAGAAGATTTTGGCATTCATTGTTGAATTCCGTGCACACGTTTTATTTTACTTTATTCTTAATTTGCATGTCAAGAAAGTGGTTCCCTTTTTACTTTCCTTGTTATTTCATTTTATTCTCTGTGAAGACACCGTACATTTATTTTGATCTCATTTTCTTTCCGTTAGATTTATTTTCTTCTGTAGTGACATTTAGAAAGGTATTTTGGGTATCATTCTTTGAATTCTTCAGGGGTTACAGCTAACTGGTGACAGAAAAAAAATATATCTTGTTCACATTTGTTGCTTACTGATTGCACATCTTAGTACTCTTATAATTTCTCTAATTTGCATGTTACAGAACGGAAGCCAGGACAAGACATAGAAATTAAAGCGAGAGAACGTTACACAGTGGTCGTTGACTGAAATAATAATCTGCATGTTGTTTTCCCTTCTCCCTCCTGCATGCAGGGATTTGGTTTCGTAACTTTCGAAAATAGTGCCGATGCGGACAGGGCGAGGGAGAAATTACACGGCACCGTGGTAGAGGGCCGTAAAATCGAGGTGCATGTTCAAAATATTTTCCTTTACATCTTTTTGATAAATGTCTGCTTTCACGCTCATTCGTTGTTTCAGATGCATCATTGTGTCTTGTATGTGACCCTATTCCCTTCTCATTGTTTATATATATATATATATTTATATATAAAAAGGAAAACTGGCCTTACTTTTTTTTTTCATTTTATTTTATTATGTTACTCTTATTACTGCTGAAAGGTGGATGGCAAACGTGAGACCAAAACAAGGTTAATCTGAAAGTTTTTTTATTTGATTTGATTTGATTATTTTATTTTCCATGTGTTAGAGCCAATGGGTGCAGTAGGTTCCAGACAGTGGAGAGAGTGTTGCAAAAACAGAACAAAATACAGAGCAGATTCTTTTTCTTTTTCTTTTCTTTTTCTTTCCACTTCAGGGTTGACGAGGGATCCACAGTGGTGTGCAAATTAAGCCAAATTGTGAAAGAAATAGCAATCGAAAGAACAATTGTTTTATATTTGTAAAAAATGAGAGGTTTTGTCTTTAAACCTTTCATTTTTTTTAAGAAATCAAAGAAGCTCGAACCTTAGTATTCTTCTGATAATAAAGCGAATAAGCAAACAGGATTTCCTGTTCAATATCTGGTTCCTCTTCATGGATAAAATTGATACTAAAATTCTGGTACTCAGAAATCTCCTCCTTCTACCACTGGATCTCCCTCAACGTGGCCACAGGGTCATATTTGTTAAAACTTTAAAAAAAGAGAGAGAAAAAAAATACCAGTTACAAATGCTTTAGTCTTTGGAGTAAGATGTTGCATATTTTGCCTTTTATTTTCCCCCCCTCGACGATAACGCTTAGGCCCCTCACCAAACTCTCAGTAACCATGGTAACTGTATACAAACCCATGCTGGCGATGGTGGTGAATGGTAAGTGGTGAAGTCCATCTGCCGTTACACGTATTTAGTGCTGATATCTCTATATACATATATATATACCACGTGACTTCTTTTGACTTGTCATATTAAGTTTTCTTGATGCTCTATTTTTTTGGATATTGGTACGCCTGTAATTGAGTGTACGTTCTAAGCTAGCCTGGAAGGCACTGACTGGATTGAGACATGACCGGTGCACATCTTACTCAGATCGTTAACTCCATATTGTGTTAAACAATGCACCCTCTCTTTTATCCTTTTGTTAGCTGTGACTTTAAAGCTTGAATGGTTTCGTTAATTCTTGCGATGTCAAAGGCTCTTGTTCCGAGTGTTGAATGCTAGATGTTGCTTTCCCCGATGGTTCTTCCCTCCCAACGTGTTGCACACGGCGAAAACTTGTTTGTCCCTTTTTTTGACATTTATGTTCCCTTGTACCTTGTCTCTCCCTTCTTCTACTCCACTGCATGTTCCTTCATATGAACCTTCTTTTCTGTTTAAAAGCTATTGTTTCTGTGTTACCATGGAGTACACGCATGCTTTTAAATCTTCAATTACGCAGTTCCTTTTAATTTGCTTTTACTGTCTCCTTATTAAACTTAAATGATATGACATTGCTTTATTGAAATGATTTGTAAGTTAAAACGGTTATGAAGTAAATGTAATTATAAAAATGTATGATTTTTTGTTATGCACCTACTGCCTTTTATAAATTAAAATGCATTTTAGTTTGTTTTGTTTTATTTTTTTTTAAGTAAGTAATCACAGTCATAATGCATGCAACTAATGGAACTATGGGTTGGCCCCGGAATATGTACTCACTTGAGTTTTCTGTGTGCATAGGTAAATAATGCCACAGCACGAGTAATGACAAACAAAAAGACTGTCAACCCTTATACAAATGGTGAGTACACACTGGCCTTTTACCAGAAATCACCTGTACCTCTGAACCTGTCAATAATTTCACTAGAGAGTCTGTTTCAACAAGCCTCGTTTGCCTTCGCATGCGAGGGTGTCCTTACTGCTGACCTGCTACAGGGAACCACCTGAGCCAATTAGATAATTTCCCCAATGGGGGCAAGGTTAGTTTCGGGTTAACCTGCGTGCTCTTCTTCCAGCCTCTCTAGGATAGCTCCCATTTGGGGGTGAGATACATTTGGGAATTGGTTGGGTCATTTAATTTGTTGTTATAATAGTAAGTTGAGGGGAGGGTGGAGGCTTCTTTTTGTTTGTTTGTTTGTTTGTTAACCATTACCTCATTGATCACTAGTCATTCTTGGATGTGTGGCTGCAGAATTTGGTTCCTTCTTTGAGTCTCCTCTGGAGTTATTAGGCTTTTGAAGGGGCTTGGAGGTTCCCTCATGACAAGTTCCGGAGTGAGAGAAGAATGTGTGAGTGCTTGTTTCTTACTCTCTGGGCTGCCCAGCATCATTTTGGGTCAGGCGAGGATGTTTCATTGACCCCTCGGGACAGTGCATTCTGGCCCTCCTTAACGGCCAAGTGTCACAACACTCCCCACACTAAGAGCTCACGTATACATGAAAAGTCACTAGAAACGTTCCAATATTTTGATTCTTTAATCCTCTGCAGGGTACATCTCTCTTAAGATATATAGGGAGAAAGACTGCTGATATGCTGATCACATACTTAATTGTACCAAATATTATAAAGAAAGTAATACAGTATTAAAGTGTATATGCTTAGGGGAATATTATACCCATTAAAATGAGCAGAGTTAAAACTGAGAGAGCCCCATAATGAATGAACATTTTTTCAAATAAAAAATTATATGTATAGCATGATTTGAACTAAATTATGATGGGAATTACACCAAAATGGTAATGGCTGAATTGAATTGTGAGACTGGAAGATATTTTTTCTTTGTTTTATAGGTTTTTAAGAATAATTTTATTACTGTCATAAAGGGAAAGTATTGAATTTTCCATTTTTAATGTTTTAATTACACATAAAACATGGAAATGTAGAGTCCTTTGGAAAAAAAGAAAGAATGGAACATTAACGAAAAGGCTAAAATATACTTTGAGTAACAGCACTGCAACGGGGTTTCCTTTCTTACTCCTCAGAGGAGGCCTCCATTACAGATTTATGTCCGTACTTTTATTTTGCTTTTTTGCATGTATCTGGAGTATCTATTTACCGCATTCACAGTATTGTGTACATGCTTTTTATATAAGTGGTATCATGGTGTACATATCATTTTTAATTGGCATTCATACATCCACTTGGAGTTCTTTCAGTGTTAATACATAGACCAGATTCATCCTTTTGAGTAGTTACATAATATTCCATACATGGATCTATGGGTTTATTCCAACTTTCCATACTGATTGGATTATTTTTTTTTCTGTTATGATCATCAGCATTTGGTAGTTTTGGTCTTCTTCTTCCTTGTGCCAGCAGCTGCCAACTTGGCTCAATAAGTTTGTTCATATTTTTAAAAGGGGCAGCATTAAACAGATATATACTCTCAATATAATAGGAGAATTATTTATTCTGCTGACCCATTTTCTCAGCTCCAGCAGCCAAGACCTATCCTTAAATGGAATAGAAATTTCACAACAGACTTAGGATGCCCAGTGCTGCCACGAAGCCACCTCCGATTTATGGGTCCTGAAACCTTTCTACTTAGGTAAAAATGAGAGCTCTGCCAGAGTTAATACATGACAACATCACCCTGACTGTTGGGAACTTTAAAAAAAATTATGAAGTAGTGAGCATGTGTGTCTGCATGCACGTTCTCATGCATATGCATAGGTGCTCGTGTGTACTGTTTATGAGAGGAAATGAAGTCAGGAAGCTAAATATTATTCCTTAAGCCATATGTATGCATATTTATTTTAAAGAAAGAGTTATTGATCAATGTCATACCCAGGGGCTGAAAACTGGACCTGTGGGATTTTGCACACAATTCAAAGCACGTTCATTAACAGCCAACATTTCTGGAATATTAACTGTGCGGCAGTAGGCGAAGCATATTAAATACCCTGGGCCCATAGGAAATCCTATAGAGAGGAAATAGTTATCCCAATTTTAAAGATGCAGAAACTGAGGCTAGACAAGAGGAAGTAATTAGTGAAGTCATTTGCTTTTGTTGTGAAGTAACAAGATCTCTGGCCATGCCTGTGTGTATGTGAATGCATTACTTTCCCCATCATCTAACCAAAGAGCACTCACATAGCAACCGGCGACAATAACACAAGGCTATTCAGTGTGGACCCCAACTTCCTGCCAGATGTTGGCATAAGCAGCCCACATCCCATTCCTGGTAGCCATGCATTCTTAATTTCCAGGAATGAGTCACGTGGGCCTCTCCTCCATATACCTGAAAGGGGCTACTCAGAAGCTTATCCTGACACGTGGACTGAGTGTGGTACCTAAAGGGTCCATGGACAGTCACAGAAGAACCGACTTAGAAAATCCAGTGCAAATTCTAATTACATAAAGACAGTTGGAGCCCTTGAACACCTTTGGTATTCAAAGAAAGCAGTTCTCAACGTTTTTCCAATTGTTAGTTCATGAGTATCATCACTACAAAGACATTTCTGATAAATTGCAATACAACTTAACTGAAAATATACAGAGACCCTCTTTGATCCTTAACAGGAGTGGTAGGAGGGGATATTATCCACACACACACACACACACACACACACACGAAAGTGGTAACTATGTGGAATGATGGATATGCTAATTAGGTTGAGTGTGACAGATATTTTACAAAGTATGAGAATATTAAATGAACAAGTTGTACACCTTAATTGTGTACTAATTTTAGTTGTCAATTATTCCTCAGTAAAGCTGGGGAAAAAGAGAAAAGTCAGGACCAAGGAAGTTACAGTGAAAGGAGAAAATTAAGTGATCTGTGAGATTCATTAGTTATTCATTCTCACAAAGCATCAAACTTACATTCAGCAAAATTATACATTACTGGAGTCATCACATTTTGAAGGTCATCTTCGAATGGTGAAATATAACCATTAACACCAACATCACAGCCATGCATTCCTTCAATCATGTAGCCAACAAAAGTTTGAGTAGCTACCAAGTTTCCAATGATTAATAAGATTGGACCCCAAGTGCAATGAGACAGATGGCTAGGAGACTGTGCTATGGAAAACCAGAGTTAATACTCTCACGGAGGACGTAGATCCCCAGAACAGTTAACTTGGGTGTAAGAGAAGACTGTAGAATGACATATAAGGATTTGGAAACTCTGCCCATCAGAAAGCTCCACAGACAGAAAATTGGACTACTTCCATATTGCTGATTTTGCCTGAGGATTCCAATACTCGGAGAGGAGTTGGGGTTTACTCTGCTCATTGGAAGTTAAAGGCTTGCTCTGCAACACAAGTTGCGAACTAGATTCTCAGGGATTTCCTAGATATTGGAGAAGCGTGGGGGTTGGCTGGAGGTCTTTTATTTCTTAGAGATCTGAGGAAGGATAAAAACTGGACAAAGACACTATATAGAGAGGTGGGTTTTGGTATCAGCTTTGCTTTTCTCTAGCTACTGACCGACAGGCAGGTTGCTTAAGCTCTCCACACACCAGTATTCTCAAGCGGGAATTGCAGACGTAATAGGATCTACTACATAGGATATCTATGACTATTATGGGAGATAAAGTACTCAACACAGTGCCAGGGAACAGAGTGCCCTAAAAATTCAATGACATAATAATCTCAACAATATGTAGCCATCTCATGCGTTTGTTGCTATAGGTAGTAAGTTGCATTTTCTGAAAAACATACTAGTTTAAGGATCAAATATTCAGATGCCGGTAGAGACTAGGCAGGTAAAATAAGTGAGCAAACAGAGAAGGTCTGAGAAACGCAGTCTTTTTAGATTATCTTACACCTACACACTGGGAAAAGCAAGGCATTTCTTTACTAGAAGGAAAAACAGCACATGGTAACAATAAAAGACTGCCAACGTTTATCCTCCAAGCCAGGCACGCACTAGGGAGTAGTGGTGACTCGGACTAACTGGGAGTTTAATGGGGTCTCTGTTCACTTCCAGCCATCTAAAGTTGCCCTTCCTAATAATGTTTCGAGAGAACCAGAAATCCTGTATTGTAGATGAAATCTAAATGTTGAGAATAAATATATGTGGCAGAAAAAGAAAAAAAAGAACGAAAGTAAGGAAGGAAGGAAGGAAGGAAGGAAGGAAGGAAGGAAGGAAGGAAGGAAGGAAGGAAGGAAGGAAGGAGAGAGGGAGAGAGAGAGAGAAAAGAAAGAAAGAAAGAAAGAAAGAAAGAAAGAAAGAAAGAAAGAAAGAAAGAAAAGAGAAAAGAAAAGAAAAGAGAAAAGAAAAGAAAGAAAAGAAAGAAAAGGGAGAGATACTAAGTGAACCAAACACAATGTACCACTAACTTTTCATTTGGGGCACTGCCCCATGCCTCTTGTCAATGACCAGGCCCTGGTATCCTCAATACATGTTTTTAGAAAATATTGATGTGCAGTTTGGGAAACTCCTGTGGTGCATTTAAGGATACTTTCTTAAATGTATTTCTTTGATATCTAATCCAGTGTTAAGAAACATTCAAACCTGTAAAGAATTTTTGTGAGTTAATTTGAGCCAAACTGTTGACAATTGCCAGGAAACAGAATTTCAAAATATTGAGATAATGCTCTGGAGAACGGTGGTTTTTCACATATTTTATAAATTACCCTCAAAGGAGGAGAATGTAAGACTGGGTTACATGAAATCCATTGGTGATAGATTAGGGAGGTGGGAGAAAGCAAAGTGGGGAAATCTCTGGGATTGGATAAAAAGTAAAATGAAAGACACATCTTCTTTTACATAGGTGGGCATAGGATAGTTAACAGTCAACAATTAGCATGACAACAATAACAATGAGGGAATTTGTGGTCCCTGTCTTGTGGT